GTGATAAGTGATGATTGGCCCACTGTATATATATTGATGGGCTTATATATATTGATTTAACCAAAATATAATTAAGATAGATATATAAGTAAAAGTATATATACATTCTATAATATATATATAATATTAAACACAGGAACACAAATTGTCCAACTTTCAAACAAGTGTTTGAAGTCATATGATATAATTGAATCATAAAATCAAAATCTAAGGTTGGTAGAGCTTATTCCCACACCTGCATTTCCAAGAGAGAAGATAGTAGCTCCCATCTTCTCTATGTGATGCTTCTTTATATTCATTGTTATTAGTAGCCATTTCGAACCCATTTTTGTTCATGTGTGGTGGAATTACCAAACTAGCCTCGCATGGCCTGCAACTCATGCACTTGTTCACACAATCTGGTGGCCTTGACCCCAACACCATCTTCCTAATTAGCTTCTCCACATTTCTTGATTTAATCTCACCTAAATTAATCATATGTTCTACACATTAATAATCAGAAATTTGAAAAATATTCAAGGAGAAAAAAAACAATGGAAAAGGGATGTTCTACGAGAAAATGAACAGCCCATGGTTTGTACTTTGGATTTATTTTATTTTATTTTTCTTTACCTGATTTGGGGGTGACAGAAACTGGGAGAAATGTGTGCTGGCCCACTACCATGAAGGACACCATGAAAGAAGGGAAAAGCCCATATGAAGCCCAAATGAGATTCCATCCCAAAACCAATTGGTGGAAGGAGGAATAGTTCATTAGTCTTATAAAATGAACAGCCCATGGTTTATACTTTGGATTTATTTTATTTTATTTTTCTTTACCTGATTTGGGGGTGACAGAAACTGGGAGAAATGTGTGATGACCCACTACCATGAAGGACACCATGAAAGAAAGGAAAAGCCCATATGAAGCCCAAATGGGGTTCCATCCCAAAACCAATTGGTGGAAGGAGGAATAGTCCATTAGTCTTATAAGGTGAGTCTATTTTTCATGTATGAACGATGTGGGACAACTCACGGGTCTATTTTTCATGTATGAACGATGTGGGACAACTCACAAGTGATACAAACAGGCTCCCATAAACGGGTACGTGGGGGATAAACAATGGGTACGTCATCACACGGTCCAAGATAGAACCGGCTCTGATATCATGATGTGGGACAACTCACGGGTCTATTTTTTCATGTATGAACGATGTGAGACAACTCACAAGTGATACAAACAGGCTCCCATAAACGGGTACGTGGGGGATAAACAATGGGTACGTCATCACACGGTCCAAGATAGAACCGGCTCTGATATCATTCTCTGATATCATGACAAGATAGAACCGGTCCAAGATAGAACCGGCTCTGATATCATTCTCTGATATCATGACAAGATAGAACCGGCTCTGATATCATGAGGGATAAACAATGGGTACGTCATCACACGGTCCAAGATAGAACCGACTCTGATATCATGACAGAAACTGGGGGAAATGGGTGTTGGCCCACTACCATGAAGGACACTATGAAAAAAGGGAAAAGCCCATATGAAGCCCAAATGGGGTTTCATCCCAAAACCAATTGGTGGAAGGAAGAATAGTTCATTAGTCTTATAAGGTGGGTCTATTTTTCATGTATGAACGATGTGGGACAACTCACAAGTGATACAAATAGGCTCCCATAAACGGGTACGTGGGGGATAAACAATGTGTACATCATCACACGGTCCAAGATAGAACCGGCTCTGATATCATGACAAGATAGAACCGGCTCTGATATCATGATGTGGGACAACTCACGGGTCTATTTTTCATGTATGAACGATGTGGGACAACTCACAAGTGATACAAACAGGCTCCCATAAAAGGGTACGTGGGAGATAAACAATGGGTACGTCATCACACGGTCCAAGATAGAACCGGCTCTGATATCATTCTCTGATATCATGACAAGAGAGAACCGGTCCAAGATAGAACCGGCTCTGATATCATTCTCTGATATCATGACAGGATAGAACCGGCTCTGATATCATGAGGGATAAACAATGGGTACGTCATCACACGGTCCAAGATAGAACCGGCTCTGATATCATGACAGAAACTGGGGGAAATGGGTGTTGGCCCACTACCATGAAGGACACTATGAAAGAAGGGAAAAACCCATATGAAGCCCAAATGGGGTTCCATCCCAAAACCAATTGGTGGAAGGAGGAGTAGCCCATTAGTCTTATAAGGTGGGTCTATTTTTCATGTATGAACGATGTGGGACAACTCACAAGTGATATTCTAACAGGGGGTAAAAATGTGAGGGAGAAAATGCAAAGGGCTGTGACTGCAAAACTGAGACGTAGCTGGTAGTTTCTTGATCGAGCCATCATCAAGATTTACAAATGCCAGATATATTAAGAGATGTATAAAAAGATTCTTTTTTTTTTCTTTTTTTTTTTTGNCAGAAAGTGGTGTAAACAATATGGAAGGACACAGGCTGTGTTTGGTATGTGAAAATTGTTAATGTTGCAAGGGAAAGAACAATTTTTAACAGTGTTTTTCCCCCCCTTTTTTAACTTTTACAGATTAAGTGACATCTAAGACGGAAAATAGTGTTGTGTTTGGTTTTTCTTTTTCTGCTTTTGGGAAAAATATTGATTTTGATGAAAGCTAAATGTACTATTTGGAATCTTTGCTCAATATCAATCATCAAGGCTTAAAAATCTTCGTGCCCCTTTTCATGTAACAAAAAATAGGTATTGTTTTTTTTTAATTTATTCGTTATACTTGAAAAATAACGATTTTTTTTCGTAATTTTCTAATTATTTGGCTTGTTAAGCTTATTTATTGACTCGTCAATTAGCTCTGCCCGAAGTGATTTCGTACTTGGTCAAAATCTTGGTTAAGTGGTCGAAGTGGTTCGATAAAGATTTGGTCCTCTATATCAGAAGTTCGTACTCGACTCGTCTGTACAGAGAAGTCAACATTTATGCATAACATTGACTTTTGGAGTTGGCTTGTAATTTCGTTCAAGACCTTCAAATATTATTCTCATTATATTAGGGCATCAAAAAATTTGATAGCAATTCTTGGATAATTCAATGCCCCCAACTAGCAAGCCTCGATAACTTTATTATGTTTTTATTTAGCAAAAATTGTCTTACACAACTTCATATATATATTTATAGCTTCTATTTTATTCCATTGGATTAGGTCAAGCTGGCCCCAACATTTTAGGCAGGCATGCATAAGTGAGGGGCCCTTTCTGCTACGTACCATATGAAATTGAACTTTTTTTAAACAGTTAGTACTATACATTGTTTTGTTGTGAACAGAGATATATTGTTTTGTTATTCATCAATATTTATACTTCTGAAGATCTTTGTGATGTCTATATAACATGCAGAGTAGTTAAAAGCTGTGGCAATAACTTTTCTGTTTCAAATAACAAAAGAAAAAATAATAATAATCTTGTTATGAAATAATAAAATAATGTATGTGAATGACTATTTTGCCCTCGATGTATTTGTATTATTACAAATTGTGCTATCAGGAGTTTCCTATAAATAGGAGCTTCAGTTCTAATGAAAAACACACCAAGAGAATACATTTTCTCTATTCTCTCTCTTTCTCTCTAGTTTTATAACACGTTATCAGCACGAGTCTCTGCCCTCTAGAACTCGATTTGTAATATGACGAGAGTATGCTCTACGGTTGCATCTTAGAGATGATCTTCCGTATCAGAAATCTAAGTATTATAAATCGTTATTTTCTGCAAACAATTTTTTCCTGTCACTAATCGGGAGCTTATGAACTTCATGCTCTACCTTTAGCCATTTCAATTTTGTTTTCA